CGTGCTGGGTGCTGCTCCTCCGCTCCCACGGCCTCTGATCGCCCGGGCACTGCCCTTTGCTCCTCACTGTGGCTTCAAGCTATGGTCGGTCTTTCGCTTGTTGTGGCGCTGAGGCAGCTCTTCTGCTGAATAAGGAGCTGCCTCTGATCGTGGTGCTGGGTGCCGCTCCTCCGCTCCCACGGCCCCTGATCGCCCGGGCGCTGCCCTTCGCTCCTCACTGTGGCTTCAAGCTATGGTCGGTCTTTCGCTCGTTGTGGCGCTGAGGCAGCTCTTCTGCTGAATAAGGAGCTGCCTCTGATCGTTGCTACTTCTGCCATCCAGGACCCTAGGGCTGATGAGACTGTCAGCAGAGCCGCATTTAGGCACGGGAGACCAGGTTCCTTGGCGCAGATACGGTTTATTGCAGAAGGGCACAAGCTTATATAGGGGTAGGGGTCCAATCAAGAAGTTACAACTCAGATCTTTGGCAGGGCTGTGTCCTATCATGACACTGTGAGCCAGACACCTCATTAGCATAATGGGTTTCAGGTTACTTAGGTTGTGGTTTCCTTATGGGGGCCTGGTTTCCTGGGAACCACATTACCCAGGCTGTCTAAGTGTTACAATTTGGGATCTCAAGGGTGGTGATTAGGAAGTGGCTGAGCTCTAGGCATCTATTTCATGATCTGCCAATAGGAGCAAATGTCACAAGGTGTTCTTTGTGGTTCCAAAGGGCAGGCATAGGGCCTTTGCCTCTGGCCTGCTGTATGGCTGTTGATAAGACTCACCCTACCCTCAAGCCTGTCTCCCACAGCTGAAGAGAGGAGAGAAAAAAAACACCAAATATTTCACCTCAAGCCATATTTAGGGACACAGAATACAGATTTCCTCATAAAAGTTGGGATCCCACCCCATGTCTCACCCTCACTACACACACTCCAGCAATCCCACCTCCATATTCACCTTCAGGGACTTCCTTGTAGCATTTTTGTGATCCCTCCCTTTTTTAACCTAACCTATGTCCCTCTTATACCCAAGATCAAGATCATTTCCTCTGGGAATGCTTTTTTTAAAAAAAAATTATTTTTATTTTCTGTGTATGAATGTATTGCCTGCATATATGTAAGTGCACGCATATTGTGCAGTGCCCATGGAGATCAGAAGAGGGTGTTGGATCCCCTGGAACTGGAGTTATGGATGGATATTAGCTGTCCTGTGGGTGCTGGGATCCAAACCCAGGTCCTCTGCAAGGGCAGTTAGTGCGCTTAACCACTGAGCCATCTCTCCAGCCCATGGGAATGATGCTTATCTCCATTTATCACCAATCACATACCCCTTGGATTTCATGAACTGTTATTTTAAAAAATATTTTATTATTTTTATTTTATGTGTATGAGTGTATTGCCTGCACGTATGTAAGTGCACCAGTGTAGCACAATGCCAGAAGAGGTCAGAAGAGAGCGTCAGATGCCCTGGCCCTGGACCTGAAGTTACAGATGGTTAGCCACCATGTGGATCCTGGGAATGGAACCAGGGTCCTCTGCAAGAGCAGCCAGTGCTCTTAACTGCTGAGCCATCTCTTCAGCCCCATGAATTGTATTTCTTAAAAATACATTTAAAATAATTTCAGACACAAAATGGAAAAACATTAGGCCATTTTGTCCATACTGCAGTGTATTCAGTAGAATCTTCCATTGCATATTTTAAACACACCAGAAACAGGGTAGCTTTTCACATTTTGATATGTTCAACATCTAGATGAAAGACAGGAGTAATCCCATAGCCATTTTACCTGACTTCTTTTCTTTTATTTACTGTGATTGCTCTCTTGTTGAAGTTGGCTTCAGCTTAGAAAAACATAGTTTTGCAAAAGGGTCCTTAAAAAGACCATAAAATGATCACTTAAAGCTATTTCAGATGTATTCTTCCTGCTACAGTATTAAAACAACAATTTGTTTTACTCATGGCTAGGGTTTCTTGGTCTGCTTCCTGGTACATTTTAGATTTGAGATGTACCACTGGACACCTGTGGGACAGTAGGACCTGTGCTGGCTGGGTTTCTAGGTTTGCTATGGGAGTCATCTCCACAATCTTATCACCCTGATCAGAAAGTGCTGCCTGTCTTCAGGAGATAAAGCAAATACTTCCAGTTCACTGTGAATTCTTTAGCCACCCTGCTCTGGCTTTTACAAAAGAGATGATGGGATTGCAACTTTTTCCTTTCTGATGTGTAAAATTGAAAGTCCCCTTTGCACCCTGCCTTTCGAGAATGCTCCATTTATACTTGGTCAGTCAGTGAAGGTTACCTTGCTTTGCCCACTATTCTAGGAGTACTGGATTGCAGTATTCTAAGGAAGCAAAGGACCAGGTCTAACATGTTTAGTAAAGCTGTAGTAGTGGAAATTTGAGTTTGTGAAATGCAGTAGAAGACCAAATGAAGAGGAGTCTTTCATTCTGTGCCTTTGGATGAAATCTTTCTTTTCCTTCAATGACTGGTGTCTTGTAAATCTCAGAGCACTTGAGGGGGGGCTGTTTTGAACCTTGCAAACAGTAATAAATTCTTGCCACTTATCCCCCCCCCCACTGTTTCCATTTACCTGTCGCTTTCTGTGATCATTATTGCTGAACCCACAGTACAGCAGCAAGTTCTCTAGTGATTTTTTAAAAATAAGGTGCATATCAAAGGATGTCTTCCTCCAACGTGGGGAACGATGCCTCCGAGGAGACACTTGTAAAAAATAGTGTGTATGTGTGTGTGGCGCATGTACTGAGGCACCCTTGTGGAGGTCAGAGAACAACTTGCTAGAGTCACTTCTCTCCATGCACTAGGTGGGTCCTGGGGATCGAACTCAGGTTGTCAGGTGTGGCAGCCAGCGCCTTTATCTGATGGCCTGAGGACACATTGTAGTAGGGTGAGTCAGTCTCTACTGGCCATTATTTTTGAAATCGGGGGCGGGGAAGGATATACCAGTTTTTATTGCAATGAAAACTATGGGGAAGGGGTGGTCCGGTCCGGGATAAAAAGAACGGAGATAAAATTGGTCGAAGCTGCTCGCCTCATTGGAGCTTGGGGGCAGGGTGGGAGGGCCCTGGTACCCAGGAGTGGTAGGCGGAGGGCGTGCCTGGAGGGGCGTGCCCGATGGGCGTGGCCCACTGGAGGGCGTGGCCGGTGGGCGTGGTGGCGGCGAGTGCGAGGGCGGGCGGCGGGGGCGGTTGGAAGTGGGTGGAGTTGCCCTTGGAGGCGGCACCCGAGCTGCTCTCGAGACCCGCCGCGCCCTATCGGCCCGAGCCTAGTGGCCCCGCGGAGCCGGCGCGCTCCCGCCTGCAGGGGGAGGGCGGACGGGGCGCGGGGACCGGCCAGGCCGCGGCCGGCGCTGTTTCTCTTTCACTTTCCGGGGCTGGGAGGCAGGCGCGCGGGCGGGCTGAAGAACGGCGGCCGCTGGTAGGTACCGCGCGGGTTGAGGCGGCGCTGGCGGCCCCCGCTGCGCGCCTAAGTTT